GTATGCAAAGGTGAACAGCTCATCTCTCTCTCTCTCTCTCTTTCACACACACACACACACACACACACACACACACACATATATATGTACATAATAGTGGAGTTTGTTTACTTTTATTAGTGTGAGAAATTGAGATTTAATTTCACTGTGTTCTGTTCATTTGATTATTGTTTCTTAAGGGGTAAGTATAAACTACCTTCAATGTTGAATGATAGTCAAGAAAATATCATAGAGCAAATCATATGTTGAGCCTTGACTTTGTGACCTTTCGCTCTGCCGTGCTAGATGTCTCTGAGATCATGTAGATGAGAGCTTGCAGAATGACAGTGTGAGACAAGACATTGCGTTTTCTCCTTGAGCAGCGGTGGGCAGAAGAATGACTCTGGAGAGGGAATTTCCCTGTGAATGATGAAATTAGAATGAATAATACAAGTTTTCATTCATGCTGAATACATTTTAAGGAAGCTTAGATCTTTATACAGGAGTCACCTAGGACAAATGAGTGTGATCGTGTCACTCTTATGGTGGGAAGACTAAATAAAGTTCCTAGATATGTCAGATTACTGTGACAAGACCATAGCTCAGTATGAATGAATCAACATTCCTCAACTAGTGCTCACACACATACCTATTGAAATCAGTATTACAGAGCTTCTTTGTTGGAGACAGTACCTACGTATGTGTAATCTTGCCTCAGAGTGTGATGGGTGCGTTTTGGTTTGTATTCTCTGACCATCCATCCTAGAGATACTTCTTGAATTGGATCAAATATTAACAGAGGGTGCAGTGGAAGACTCAAAGAGCCTTTCTTCGAGGTTTTACCAGGCAAGACATGAATGGCTGAAGGCTCATGAATTCCCCCACTGTGACTGTGCCTGGAATCTTGTCAAGGACATGTGGTCCCTTCCACTTCAGCAGTCGGACAGCTCCTGTAGCCAATTTATCCAGGTTGACAAAGCTTTTCTATTTATAAATGTTCTGTAGGGTCCACAAGGAATCTTGGAAACTCATTCATTTTCTAAAGAAAGGGTCAAGATCAATACGTTCAAAAATATTTCCAAGTTACTTCTCTATTTGCCTTCAGCAACACCACCTTGCAGGGCTCGATTTGTTCAGAGGCCAGACAAGGCCGCTTCAGCTGCACCTCTGAGTATAAAAGGTTTTGTTGTCTACTAGCACAAGGAGGCCTCACGGTTTCTCATTTGGTGTGGTTTTGGTTTGTAAAACACTTTCCCAGGGTAGTCATCTATGAGCGCAAGATTTGGGGATGTAGAGTGCAAAGGTGATGTTTTTTAAAGAATTCTTTTTCTAATTTGCTAAGTGAAAAATTCTGGAAAATAGAATTTCCTTTTGTTGATTAAAAAATAATATAAAATGTAGATTATGGCCTAATTGCCATGATAAGTGGCAAGGGAGCAACACAGACAGCCTTTTCTGCTGTAGGTCCTAGAGGCCTACTAGGTTAATGACTTATAATGAGCTTACAGCTAAAAAGAAAATGTATCATTTCTGTCTGATGCTGTATAGAGATAGCAGTCCAGCCTGAGCAGATTCTTCTGTCGTTACAAAGCCCAGTAGGCCACACCACAGGTCAAATGCCCACATCTGTGTGTTCATACATACCTCCTCATGCAAATCTTTTAAAAAATAATAAAAATGATAGACAAGAGAGACCTCAGGGTCTAGGGCTGTTGCCTTAAATCAGGACATTTTAAATGTGAGGTTTGGGGTTTCAACTTAGAAATTTACATTTTTCATTTTAGTCTTGTTATGTGACAAGTGCTTTATTGTTTATAAAATGCTTTGATTTACTTACCTTTGAGTAAAGCTGGTATTTGGGATGGACTTGCCGTGTTTGCACCTTCAGACTCTGAGAAAGCATTTACTGAGTTTCTGCTGTGCACTGTTTAACACTCACCCTCCGAACATAAATATTAGGTACCACTATTCAAGTCTGAAAAGCAATAGAGAAACACAGTTATGACACATGAATTAGCAATAGATTGGTGACTTGTAAATGATTGCCACTAATATTGAACCATTTTTTTACTCAGAGATTTTCAGTGATCTTCCTCAGAACTTAAAGAAAGCTCCATCTGAACTTGTACAGCTCAGTTGAACGGAAATTAATTCTTTTAGGCTTCAGAAGGTCACATTTTTGACACTGGCATTTTAGAGCTATGGAAAGTTCTTTGCTTCCCCTTACTGCCTTTAACAAATGCTCCACATTTCAAGATTTTGTTTGTGTGTGTGTGTGTGTGTGTGTGTGTGTGTGTTATGTGTGTGTGTTATGTATGTGTGTATGTGTGTGTTATGTGTGTGTATGTGTGTGTGTATGTGTGTGTGTGTTATGTGTGTTGAATATTTAAAAAATTGCAACTCAAGTTTAGTATGCCAATACACTGGTTAAACTAGAGTTTACACAAGTGGTTTGAATTCCTGCTCTTCTGCTTATTAGTTCTAAATATTTTCTAAGCCTGCTTCTTTTATCTATAAAATGAGGAAAATGTTCATCCTCACTCCTATAAGATGACACACCAAATACTATGCTTGGTGTATGGTAAAGGTCAGTAAGAGTAGTGATATTTCACTACTCTTGTGTGTCTGCCTGCACAAGCATAACCCATATACACATTTTCAATATAACACATTGTTATTCAAAGCATGCTGGCTGATCTTAGGGGGAATCGTGAAAAGGCACCACTTGCCATCAGCATTGGCAACTTCTAGTGAGCAGGTGCATCCTCTCCTTACTGATTCCCACTGCCCAGTGGCCTGTCTCTCTGCTTCCCTTTGCTTGCAGAACCTTTCAAGTCAGGACCTGAAATTCATCCACACAAAGGTGTAGATGACTGAGAACACTGGAGGTTCTGCCCTTGGGAAGGTCACTGACCTCTTATCAAGGATCAAATACCAAGCCCGTGAGATTGCAGGCATAAGTAGCAGCTGGAGAAATCTGTCTGACGGTGCAATCTTCCTTTGCCCTCTGGAGCTCCCCAGAGTGAGAATAGTTAACTGGGCCAAGGGGTGAGGCTAGTTCAGCTGCTGATGGTGCCTGCTGGGGCTCTCTGTGGTGTCTGTCCGACATCCTCAAAGACTGCCTCTCTCTAAGCCTAGGGCCATTTAAGAATGTCTGTCAGCTTTCTCTGTTTTTTTTTTAAAACCCCGTTTTCATTTATGTCTGTGGGGTTTGAATCTTGTTACGCTTTAGACACAAGCTGTAGCCTTTGAACATTTTTTCCTGACGTTCTTCTTCGTGTTTGGATATATATCGTTTTTTTTTTTTTTCTTGCCCACATCCTATCCACATATTCATCCTTAGTTATCCATTGTATTTCTCTCACAAAGGTTTGTATTCATGATTGAAAGTTTTTCATACCTCAGACTATTTTCATGAGACTTTCTTCTGAAATATTGTTTCTTTTCATGTAAGTTGTTTGGATAGTATTATCTACAGACAGATTCTAGGATTTGAAGGATTAGAGTTTAAAGTATGTCTCCACTAGCAGGTAACGTTTCAATAACCTTTTAATTTTTCATCCTTGTTTATCAGTAGGGGGAATACAGGGACTTGCCCACAGTTTGTGAGAACAAAATCAGATCACTGTGTTTTGCAGGCACCAAAGTCGTGCAGAACTTGTTTTCAGTCTTTTTTTTTTTTTTTCTGTTTTAACTACTCTTTAATATTTTGTTCCAAGAGAGGGTTTACAGAGAAGTATTATAGTTAGTAATTTGTAAAAAATAGATGGGATTATCTCTATTTAAATTTCCCCCATTGCTCAAAATAGCTCTTCTATACAGTCTTATGGTATGTCTGTCCATGGCCGCTCCCAGCATTCTTTAGCCAATGTGCAGACATTGCAGAGGAGGATATTCTCAGGGCGAACAGGAGAGCTGTCCAGTTGTGAACAGGTGGGCTCTACCAGGGTCCAGAACATCTGTGCATGGCCTGCCCAGGCTGGATGCCCAGGTGGCTCAGAAGTTTGCTTTGAGTTCATGAGGCGTGATTTTTTTCAGTATGTTCTACACAAATGAGAAAAGATGAATGTTAGTTTATTGAGTACCTACTGTGTACCAGACACTTATAGTAATTAATAATAATAATAATAATAATAAATAGTAATAGTAGTAGCATCTAACTTTGGGACTTTTACCAGATACTGAATAGACACTGACCTTACTCAAGTCATTTAATCCTTAATCTAACCTGTGACATTTGTATTATTGTCTGTTGTGAAACTGAGGAAATGGAAGTCCAAGCCAGTGCTTATTAGATAATTCCCAAAGATTCTGACACACCCATATCAAGTTGGGTATTTGACCATTGAGGTCACAGAGACACAGAATGTTTAATTAAATTATCCAAGTGGCTCTGTGTGGAAGAGCTGGAACGCATGAACTGAGCCAGTCCTGGCACAGTGTACCACACTACCTTCTGAGTGTTGGAATTCTTAGGAAGGACTGTTCACTATGTCTGTCTGTCTGTCTTTCTTTCTTTCTTTC